TTAATGTTAATAACCAAGATTACATCATTGTAAAACAATACAAAGGTACAAGTAAACGATTTTTTGGCATAACCGCGTGCGCGTCGTCTGCTTTGTAAAATGTTTGAATCCAACCTCATCCGTCATAATTAATGCACATCGATATTAATAACAGCGTTAAAATGGTTGAGAACAATGCATAAATGAAAAATCATACGATTTTTTAAAGTTACAAAACAACATTTCATGTATTTTATTGCAATCAATTGTTTTGCGTCTTTACCTTCGAAAGGTTCAGGAGAAAGGAATGTGAATAACAATCCCGACCTTTTATATACTACACGTACTTGATGTGTCAACCGAATCCGACCCTTAAAAGCCAACGTTCAAGTAACAAATACTTGGGACCTATAAACTAGGATATAGGTCCCTTCAAATATACTTTTCTCGTAAAATAAAGGCATCTATTTTGTATACACAAATAGATGCTATTATACGATATATTTTATATTGGATATTGTATACTTAACATATCAGTCAGAAGATAATTATACTTCTACCTGAGAATTTTACTTCATGAACTAATTTAGATCTTAAATCTTATGAAGTGTTAACAGATTTCATAGACTTTGTAATTTTACCTCTTGATTCTGCTTAGAATGTTCTGCGGGGTTTTATGGGAAGAACTGCGGTCAGAGATGCAGCGAGAATTGCTTTATTACAAATAGATGTGACCGGTTTACAGGGGAGTGTATGGGGAAATGTAAACCAGGCTGGAAGGCAACCAGATGTTCACAGAGTAAGTAACGGGAAAATATAGGGATAAATATTTTAATAAATATATTCCCGGCCCAAGACCAAATTCAAAATCGATATAACTCTAAAAAAAACGTTGAAATGAAAATAAAATTGGCATCATCTGTTTTAAAAGATATGTCATGCACAATTTTTAAGTTAAAACGGAAAATTAAAATTGAGATACATGTATTGAAAATCATAATTTTGATTTAAGTATGTTCTCAATTTATGGTCTTCGGGCCTGATGTATGTAAAGTAGAGAGAACTCGTTGCCAAAGGCACTTTTCATATGTTTTCTCTGATATCAAGAGTATTTCCTGAAATATTTAGCATTGTCCAATACGTTCTTACTAAAATACCATTTACTCATTGAGCAGTTCAATTGTTTACATAGTCAAAAATGTACATTTCTTAAATTTATCATCTTTTTAACTTGTCTAGAAAGGAAGAAGAAAAATCCGAAAATGTTTAAATATTCTGTACTACCATAAAAATGGTTTCCCTTTTCGAACTTAGGATAGCAAATTTGGTTATGTAGATGGGCGGAAAAATTCAGAAAACTTGCCTGCCCTTTTCGGGCTCATGGTAAAAATTAATGGGTCGGTATGTAGGCGGGAAATTTTTTTCCTTGAAAATTTCAACAGATTTGTTTACGGGATAAAAGGGAAAAAGAAGAAAAAATACAGTGTCCTGAAATTCGAAAAAAAAAAAAATGAGTCGGCTATTTCAAGCCAGTGGGTCGAAATAACCAAACATATTTTTGAAGATGACTATACTTCCATAAAAACAGTGCTTTTTCATAAATAAAACTATTTATTTTTATAAGTTTCTCTGCTATAATTAGATAATGATATAATGCTTGTTGATGATTTATAAGAATGTGAGGGAGGTACGTACGGTGTTGACTGCCGTCAGATCTGTGGTCACTGTCTCAATGGATCAGTTTGTTACCACGTGAACGGAACATGTGGAGAGGGATGTTCTCATGGATTTCGTGGGGCGACATGTATGACAGGTATTTAATTCCACCTTAGTTTAAGAAACTCAATTTTTCTACTTATCTCTATTTTGTCATAGACATATCAATCATTTTTTCACAAGAATGCTCTGCAGGATACTTTGGTACAAACTGCAAGGGAAACTGTAAGGCTTATTGTGGCGGAAACAAAACCTGTGACGTCATCACCGGTGTTTGTGATGAGAGCTGTATAGAGGGGCTACGAGGACCTCTTTGTAATGAAGGTGTTACATATTAATTTGCATTACAGAAGTTTATGGTTTCTGAGAAAAAACGTTTTATTAATGTTTGTCATCATAACATTATACATCAGAATTTATAAAAAATGCACGTTAAATAGATATGCATACAATGATTAAGAAAAGCTTCAAATTACAGAAACTATTCTTAGCAGAAATGCGTCTGACAATTGTGATCTAAGCACCACTAGTATCATTATAAGCATAGTAATCTCTTTATTCGTTGTTCTGACTGGAAGTATTCTTAACTTTATCATATTGAAGAGGAAAAACGGTAAGTATATGTAAATAAATTGTTTGATTTAACGCTTTTTATGCAAAAAAAGTAAGAATCATTGTTAAAATTATAAATACACAGAATTTCAGCATCTTCCGTTTTTCTTCAGAATAAATAAAATTTGCACATTCTTAATTATGACTTATCGTAATTAAATGTACTACTTTCATGTATTCAAATAGGCAATTTAACTCAAATTTGCAGCTTAACAAATTATATGAAAACAGAGGCAACAAAAACGTTGTTATTGTTAAAATACATAAATATAAAAACATCAAATACGAAAAATCTATATTAATATTTTCTATCAATACCATATATTTTATTTAACTAGAAACAAGATGAAATCCATTGATTTTTCTTTAGGTGGAACTGAAAAGGTAAGTTTTATATCTGATATAATTTAAAAAAAAATAATTCAGGTATTTTTTGGTTAAGCGTGTTTTTAAATTTATTTAATAAGGCAGATTGACTTTATTTCTCTTTATAGCCTAAAGCTTCAAGGGCAAAGATGAGGAACGTGGATGCTCCCGGAATCATAGGTACGATAAAATGTTTCTAGAGCCATCTATATGTCAATTATACATTAAATTTTCAAGCAAGTGAATTATCTTTCTTGAATAGATGTAATGTTAAAAAGTCTTTACTTTTCATTAGCTTCCCCCCTTTTAAAATATTTCTCAGAAATTAGTTACAATGTATGCATCATTCTACCTTAACAAAAGCATAACAATTGAGGTTTTTATATTTATAGTTGATATCCGAATTCTTTTACAATTGCATCTTTTTCAGGAAAATCAGCAACTGGTGATGGGTAGGTAACCTTTTAATATCCTTTCAGACTTGATATGGTTTTAAAATTGCAACCAGCATTTCGTTATCAATATTCTTAAAGTTCGCTTTAGATTCATATGTTTTGTTTCATAGTAGGGATGAATCCCATTATACAGACATATGTGCGCTTGATAAAGCAAAAACATACGAAGAACTTTCTCGTGACACCGAGGCTGTTGACATAATATAAGGAAATGTTCAGAAGTAGAGGTGTCATAAGTTTACTACTGAGCAACATTATCAGAAAACTCTTATGTTTTCAACAAATTGCAACCGTGCATTTGAATTGTATATTCCGCATTTTTTAAGATATTGATCTTATCCTGAAGTTTACTTTTAATTTAATATTGATTAAAGGACTTAAGCATAGATAATTATAAATTAAGCTTGATTGAATGACCAGCAAATTTCTTTATCAGAAGCATGTTTGTAGTCGACAAGAAAAATCTGACACCTGGACCCGTTTATATGTTTAAGAGGCCCTGTTTGCTCTGCTCCTTATTTGTATTGTTTGATTGAACATCCAAGTGCTCTGAAGTTGACATCAAAAGATGCTTGCGTTTTTGACTGACGATATCTATGTAGTTCTAGGAGACCAGGTATTCCCACAATTAATTGGAAATCCCATGGGTACCAATTTTGCCTCGTTATGACCAGACGTATTTTTATCCATATAAATCAGAGTTTGTAAAGTAAAAATAAAACTGTAGCTACGGCATACAATTTGACATTTAGATATATCAACAACGTATTGTCAATTAACAAAAGTAATTTCGATTTTTTTGTCGAATCGATATATCCCGGTGAAAATGAGTTAAAAGATAATCAGAGTCTTTCAAATCTGTTTCATATTTGAATATTTTATTCATATCCCGATGAGAATGAGTTTGAAAATACAACAGAGTCTTACACATCTGTTTCATATTTTGATATTTTACTTGAAAAAAACGTTAATGGTAAGCTAACAACCAAGCTCTATAATAAACGTGATGAATATCAATCCTCAACTTCCCTTACTTATGCAGCAATATACCTTCATCACCTGCATACGGAAGTTATGTATCTCAGTTGATTCGAGAGACAAGGGCATGCTCTACATATGTACATATGTACAATTTACGTTAAGTTATTTCCCGATCATGACAAGGAGCACACGGGGAGTGTTAGTATTCGACAGCGGATGCTCATTCCTCCGTAGCACCTTGTCCCATCTCTGATGTTTTTGAGGTGCATATTTATGCCCTGTTCACACGGAGAATTTAATTCGCAGTAAATTCATGCGAAGTAAACTAATGCGAATCAAACTAATGCGAATCAAATTGCGTTCACACGACAGCTAATGCGAAGTAAAGTAATGCGAATTAAATTTTACTTCTGCAGCCTGGCGTCAGCACGGCTATTATGACGTCATTTGCAAATCACGTCACCTTATGCTGAAGCAGATCATATCCATTTGGCATAATGACAAAGTGTCTGTATACACATTTTAATGATTTCCTTAGTTTTTCACTCAAACATAGCACAAGTACCGATAGCTGACCACCGACAAGCTTAAGTGGCATTTGACTAAATTTTGCCATTACGCATGCGTCATAATTTAATTCGAATTAGCTTCGCTTAGTGTTCACACGGAGCTAATGCGAAGTAATTTAAAACTTATGCCCTGTTCACACGACAAGTTTAATTCGCAGTAAATTAATGCGAAGTAAATCAATGCGAATCAAATTAATGTGAATTAAATTGCGTTCACACGACAGCTAATGTGAAGTAAGCTAATGCAAATTAAAAATTTTCTTCTACAGTCAGGCGTCAGTAAGTCTATTATGACATCATTTGTAAACACGTCATGTATGCTGAGCCATCCTTTGATACAACATGTAGTGGCTACAGGTATTCATTGATTTTAGTGATTAACATACTTTCCCTCAATTTTTGAACCAAATATAGCACAAATACCTATATATAACCACCAACACGTGTCCTGTGGCTTAATTTTGGCCTTAAGCATGCGTCAAAATTTAATTCGAATTAGCTTCGCTTAGCGTTCACACGGAGCTAATTCGAAGTAATTTAATGCGCAGTACATTAATTCGAATTAAACTAATTCGCATTAAATTCTCCGTGTGAACGCTAAGCGAAGCTAATTCGCAGTAACTTTACGTTTAATTCGAATTAAACTCTCCGTGTGAACAGGGCATTACTCTGCTCAAATTATGTATTGTTCTATTGAATTTTGACCTGGAATTCTGTTCATTATCTCCATATATTTATTGATAAATCTTTTTGCTCGAATAATATTCGTTATTTACATCTATTTCTTTGTATTATTTTATTGAAATATTGTTGTTGAATACTGTTAATTATCTCTATATATTTACTAATAATGATTTTTTGCTCGAATACTCTTCGTTATCTCCATACATAAATGATTGCGCCCATGACAAAAGGGTCCTTATGGCAATTTTTATGCATTTTGAGTTTTTCGTGAATTTTGATAGAGTAAGGTTAGAAGTTGTCAAATATGAACTTTTATGGTCCTACGTCTACTCTAAGTAGGTTTTTTCTTCATTTTTATCAAACATACTTTAACAGGTTAATAATGACGTCATGTTTTTAACAACGTCAAAACGTTTTCAGAGTGAACGTTTAATGATTTTCTTCTGTAATTTTACTACGGTAATTAATAATTGTATAATATTTATTTTATTTTTTCCAATGCACATTATTTTTATCTCATTGTCTATATATATTATGGATTCATCAGTGGTATAATTTATATGAGTGAGTGTTTGTTTTACATTTCACTTTTCTATGACACCAGGGGGAGACTTGAACAGCGGGCGACATCCATACATTTTTTTTAAAACAATTATTTTCTCAAGCAAAATATTTACGAGTAATCTATGCAAGTCTTTTGATAAGCCTGTAAAATTCGTTAGAAAATTATTTTAATAAAACATTGTTCTCGATAGGTCAAGATTTCAGCATAAGACGATATATCGTAAGCTACCATATATGTGAAAATTATACGCTACCTAAATGCTACTGCGAAGTGAAAATTTATTTGATTTTTCTTTTTTTTTCTAAATTTTGTATAAAGGCAGAAAAATTGTGAAGTGTGGTAACGTTATAACAATATACAATAGACAGTAGATAAAAAGGAAATTCGGTTGATTCCCTGCATCTATAAGATTGTCTGTCTGCATGAGGTCAATAATGACACTGCTTTTTGAATTTATAAAGGATACTCAAAATATTTTTTCAGTCTAGCAGTGCAAATATTTTTTTATTTACCAGTCAAAAGGGAAATTTTACGAACAAATGAATGAGTTATAATCCGCACACATTTACACAATAGATAGACCCAGGATTAACATTTGTAGGATTATGTGTATGTTGGTGAGGGGGGGGGGGGGGTGAAAAATCTAAATGGCAGAAACTTACAATTCTTGTGAACACGGGTTAAAATAAATAAATATTTTTTTAACTTACAAAGTTTTAGGTGCACCAACTTATAAATTCACGTTTTTATTCAGGTTTGAAATAATACTGCATATTATTCTTCATTTTATATTTGTACCTTTAATTCTGAGCATTGCCATTTTCAAAATCGCACAGCGATCATAAGCACTATGAAACTGGAACTGAATTGCTATGAATTCAGTCTTGTTAATCATGTATATAATATTTACATTCAGTGTAATTTTTCTTATGAAATCCATTAGAAATCAACGACGTTCAAATTTCTATAACACACGCGAAACTGTGTCACCGCGCGTTAGAATACACAGTAGGAACTACATGCATTTCAATACTCTAGGAACACCAAAATGTAATTTTTTTTTTATTTTAATTTAATGAAAAACTATAACCCTGAAAAATTAACGTAAAATTTAACGTTATGTGCATTAAGAATTAATTTGTCACTTTTTTCCTCGCAATATTTGTTTGCGTTATTTAACTTTGCAACGTCATTTAACGTCATTTGACGTCACAAACGGCTCTTACATCTATTAATCACAACAATTTTGAAGGGCGCTAAATTCACATTTAAGATTAACGAAATAAGCAATTATGAAAAAGGAAAATTAGAGAATGTAAATATAAGCATTGAATTAATATTTTTGGATGTCTTCGGTCCTATAACACACCTGGCCGTGTCGACAAATTATCATACCGCGCGAACGCGCGGTATTCAATTTGTCGGCACGGCCAGGTGTGTTATAGGACCGAAGACATCCAAAAATATTAATTCAATGCTTAAATGACACCCTTGAATAACAAAATCTGGTTCTATTTTATGAAAAGGGCGGTTTTAGAAGCATACCCATAGAATTAAATTAAAGATGCCATTTACATAAATTTAATAAAAATTTCGAACAAAATTGGTTCGTCATTTTTTTCTCGTTACTTTAAAAAAATATCCAGTAACCAAATCAATAGTAACTTTATCATGTAATTTTATGAATCATGCCGTATAATGTATAGATTTTGTTGGGGTAGGGGTGGGTTAAATATTAATAACATGTAATTGTTCATGCCTAAATATACAGTCAGTTGTCTGTGAACTGGCTGAGTTTTGAAATGTCAGATTTTTGTAGGGATGTAAACATCTTAGAAAATTCATCATATTATGTTGACTTAATTTTAAAAAAAAATCCCCTCATTCTAATGATTTTGTTTTCTAATTTTATTCTATGAAGTGAGTTTTACAGAGTATAAATTCCATTCTGGTCCCGTGCAAGAAGCTTGGATATTCTAAGCCTCGTAAAGCCTTACATGTTACGGAAATATAAAAGGACACCCACCCCCATCCCCTGCACTGCGGCAAAAAAAAAATGCAAGCATATTGTTGCGGTTTTAAGTCGTGTATTTTCAGCATTGAATTTTATTTCCTTTCAGCATTTACATTTAGAAATGAAACCCGACCCTGAACTTATAAGGATATTTTTTATCAATCAAAACAAATAAAATCATATTTGTGCATATAAAATAATATTTACATGTATCCATAATTTGATGGCAGGTTAAACAATATATTATTTCACACTGATAACTGCAATGAGATTATAAGTTGATGATTGAGGTTTTAGCATGACAATTGATCTGTTAAGAGACATTCAATGCTGATCGAGTTTTTGTGAAAGACAAAGTTCTTCATGGCTTTAGGTATTAATTTGCAGATAATGCTTAAAACATTTGAACTCTGTATAAAAAAAAAACAACAACACGTAAGTACCAAAGAGATACATGTATATTAAATTTGGAGATCTTGAAAATAAATACCCATACATGTATATAGTTTAGAGAACAAAAAAGTTTTTTTTTCATTTTACAATATTTATTATTTTATTTGTTTTGAAAACTCATCTTTTTCAATAGAGTTTCACATTTCTCAATAGATATTTCTCAATCAGATAAATAGATTCAAT